TTTAACTTAGGGAGATACTTCACTGGAAAAAAATTGCAATAATGTGTCAATTTCGGTCCACGCTCGATTGAGTTGAAATAACACCCTACTTGACTGTGTAAAATGGTGATTCATAAGCCGATTCAATCAAATTTGTTGCAAACATTCTCATCGATAAGAAAACTTGATGAAATATCTAGTTTGAGTTGAGAATTCCCTCAAAATGTTCAATCAGTAAATCCACTCACAACCACATATGCAGTCACTCAACTGAATTATCAACAGTGTATACATGATATGGTGGCCGAGTCCAAATATTGTGTTTGAATTGGTTTCACTTTATCTGATACTAAACCGTAACCCTGTCAAAAGGCAATACCCAATATCTTCTGGATGGATTCGTTCCAGAGATTTGAAATGTTCATTCATAAGATAGATGCGAAATTTACGTGAAATCACTTTCATCAGTTTCAACTAGTGATGTAGAAGCAACCATACCATCATCGTTGATTTTTCTTTTGGAAAATTTTGATGAATCACTTTGTTTCATCATTATAAATTTTGAACTGCACTAATGGTATAGAAAACACCAAGCGCATGCGCTCTTAAGCTATAGTTTCGAACGTATAATACGTGGAGTAACCTGTTGTATTTCTTTCGGCACATGGGGGGATATTTCCCTCTTATACCCCCGTAGGTACGCCCCTGTGCAAAATAATCGATCCACTTGAAATATTGATTATGAATTTCGCTCATCAATAACTTTGTTAGGTACCTATATATAGTTTGAGTCCGATTCGATTATTACAATTATTCTTTTCATTGAATCATATATACAGGGTTATTCATGCGTGGAGACTTACATACTGAAATGGGAAATCAAGACGAGTTGATGTATATATATGTATATCAAACATCATTTTGGGCATTCATAGTGAGAATACGACAGAGTATTTTGTGAAATTGCTAAACAACTTTGGTGGGCGATATTTCAGAAATGATTCATCGTATAATTGGCTGAAATTTGGCAGCAACGTTTCATGATGGCATATTATGAAAAAAATAAGTCAAGTCAAACAAGTTTACTTTGTGATCATTTTTCTCGAAAAATATTATCAGATTTAGAAGGATCAGACAAAACGCCATAAGAACTGCTCTTCAATATGCATACTTTGACCGATTTCATGAAAAAATACCTATATGGAATAAAAACGTTCGAATGAATCTTCAATTTCAAACAGGGCTGATAACTCTTACCTTCCAACTGGGTTCGTGTTAATTAATTTTTTGTTCATTTTCGTTTTATAGAAATCGACAGAAGACAGTAGTCCTACTTTTTTGATAATTTGAAATGTTATGATGTGATAGGTCATCACTAGGTAATCGGAATATTCTTGCACTCAAGATCCCACTTCATACTTCGAATTGCTGAACAAGATGAAAATTATTCAAATGCTGCAATGTTTAATACCATGAAAGATTTCCAAACCCAACAATACGTATAGCAGTAAAACCTTCACGAGGGTGAACATTAAAAATATTGAAGAAAATTCAAATGCATACTTATATACTTATCACTTGGAGAAGTGTATCAAGAACAAAAAATGATGCATGTTTAACTAATTTGATAAATCACCATATGGTCACATGAAAATCCTCATGCCGTAATTTTATCATTTGGTACCTACACCTACCCAACAAACATTTTAGGTATAATATACGTCATTTCGACCTTAGAATAGGTCAACGACTTATTTGGCCTAAGTGAATATCACGTCTTATTTACTTCAAATTTACCAATATGGGGAAAAAACTGGAAGTAATTCAGAAGACGAGAATAGGGATATTAGGGTATCCTGACCAATAGGTCGAGGAAACAATTAGGTGAAATTGCCCTAATTCTAGTCCGATAGTGGTCTGATTTTAGTTATTCTGACGTTATTCATTACCTACTTATGGGTGGGTTTACTAAGATTTCTACCTGGTTTACTGTCATTTGGTTGGGTTCGGAAAACAAATATGTACCGTGTTTCACGATCGACCATACCTACTCATTTACGTGTGGAGACTTAGTAGTTTATGAACATGGCGTTCAAAAGAAAACTCAATAGTAGTGGAAGGTGTAGATAATATGCATGTTGTTTAGCTTATTTGAGGTTGTTGTGAATCGTTATTCAACCTGCGATGCAAAATTTATTGTGATAATGTTAATTTTACACATGTAAAATTAGTGGGCCCACGAAATTATTGGATTTGTAGAAAAATACTGGATGATATTCTTTGTGTTTTCGAATTATTTTTCAACAATTCCATCTAAAAATGAATCAACTGGTAGAATATGATCATATATGCGAAATTTAACCTTTTCTGTATTACTATTCATTAGGATGTGGTCGCTATGTAGAGATTTCTTCTTTTTCCTTCAATGGCGAAAAAGGTTCGAGCCAACAAATATGGCGTCGGTTTCATATTGGACTTGAAAGTCGAATTTTCCAGAATCTTCAACTTTCAGGGCGAATAGGCTTCGTTCATAGTCGAAAATTCTGTATATTCTGACTATATGGAGCCCAATTTCCCTATATTGGGATTTTAGACTATATCAACGAGTATATTATTTGAGTAGCAGTCAACCTGATGGATTTATATTATCAGATAATCATATAATTTGTCAAATGTTCGTTGTTCGCTTTCAATTTCTTATTCTGCACCACGGTTGACCACGGTATGTTTTCTAATTGGTCGCTGGATGACAGGCTTCATTTTTCAGCGAATCAGAAAAGTCCATCGCCGTGTTGTCATCTCTCGAACAGTGTTGCCGTTCTAGTATACTTTTAGTACATTTGCCATTTTTGTACGTTCTCAACCGAAGTGTAATAATTGATACCTGTTTTTTTTTATATAAAAGTTATTCGAAATATGCATTCAGATCTGACCAATGGAATAAGTGGAAGTAAAATTTCGAATGTCAAAACAACTCGATGGTTTAGATGATCAAACATCATCGTAATGTATAGAAAGATATCATGATTTGCTTTATAAGCGTTCAAGCGGTAAGCTACCTGAACCACTCACTGGTGATAAAGAATAAAACATTCAAAACTCATACATTGCGCTTGTCTCCAGTTTTTAATATTTTCAGAAATTAATGATCATTTCAAAACATTTGCCGACCTCAAAGCACAAGGATCAATAATAGTCATCAACTTTGAGAACATGATTTTAGGACTAATTTTGGTATTCTCGGCTCTCTCAAGGACACTTCGTTCTATAAGGATTTCATAGTGGTAATCTTGCCTTCATCGTATATGAAGTTGGTACTGATTAGGTTAAAAAAAGTCTAAGAAACTCCTTCGACTCAATTGGTCAAAAATAGGTAAAACAGAGTATAAATCCGACTTATTTTCTCCCACTGATTATTCCCTGACTTTATGATCGTTTATCAAGTTAGAATTTGGTAAATTTCAACTCCAATCAATATCCTGATAGTTCGAGGGCCTGGAAGACATTTTACTGGTGATTTTGATGTTAAATATTACCTAATTGATAACTAAATGCTTACTAGGACCATGAAGTTATGTTTGAAGTCTGTAATGAGTAATTTCCAACTATGCAATTTGTCTATAAAGTTGATGGATTTTATAGGAAATGTTGAGGTCCTAACCAGGTATTTTACAACCTAATCCATAACTTTCAAGTTACTCAGGGCATAAAGGTAAAATATTTTGTCGGAAATTAGTAAATTTCGACTTCTTCGAGTAATTTCTCCTCTCTGCTTGGTATAATTCTCTTAAAATGTTGGTTGGGTATACCTACCAGTTCGAATTATCAGCAAACGTCACGTCATTATGTCACACCATGACAAACATGGCCTTCTAGATATTTCGTTATCATTACTTCAATTTGAATCCATGAAACAAAGCCACGAATTATAATATTCATCCAGAATTTAGAAAAAAAATACCATGTTTTTTTTCTCAACTACCCATCTGTCAATCTCTATCCAACAAAATTCAACAAAAAATCAATTTACATGAACCCAGTTGTAAGTTGAGAGTTATCAGCCAGGTGCTAATTGAAAATTCATTCGATAACTATTTTGTTTCATATTTTTTTATTGAATTTCAAGACAACGTATGTGCCTTGCAAATTGAAGAGCAGTTCCCATAGTGCATTCTGTCTGATGAAATTTTTCGAGCAAAGTGATCACAAACTGAACTTTTTTGAATTCTGAAAGTCTGGATTATTTCTCCATAATGTGCCATCTTGAAAAGTTTCAGTTGAGAAACGTCGCTGTCGTATTCCAGCAAATTCTGATGAATCATTTCTAAATTATCGGCCATCAAAGTTATATGTCAATTTCACATAATACAAAAATGTTTCATGTATATGTATATTGTATACTCTGCATTTGGGCTATGTGAATCTCCTCATGGATCACCCTGCATGAGTATCAATTCAGGACGAAACTGCCCCTAATTTGAAGTTGCAGAGAATCTTAATATATAAACTACACCCATGTACCGGCGAAATAATCTATCGACTCGAAATATTGATGAAGTTTGCCCATCAATAACTTTTGTTAATCCAAGTCCTAAGTGCTTGAATATTCTTTTCATCATTCATCAAAGCATAGGTGAATTCAGGAGGATTCTGAAACTTATTTGAAATTTCAGAGAAATCGATGGCTTTTCACACTAAAATTGAAATAATCTTTGAATACCAAAGTGACCCCAGCCCAGCTGTTACTCCCTCATTTCATCATGTGCTGAGTTGACTCAGTAGTATATTTTTGTAGGGTTAAATGTTCAAAAATAGATGAATCTCTTCGATTTGCTCTTGAATTTACAGTTGCTTTTCTACATGAGTTTACTGCTTACATGCTTATACTTTCATTTTGTTACACACCATGATATATTACGCAGCTATACTGTCAAGCATTCATTCTTTGCAATGGAGGCTTCTGGTAACAGTAGCCTGCAATCTCGAAATGCAGAAGATAACATCATCTTTTTCTTTTTCAGATCTTGAAATATTGCGACCATCTTCATGGAAAATGGTATTTCTCTGAAGTCAGAGCGATCTTCTCCAGAAGATATTTGCTGCAAAACAATGCGATCGAGATATTTTTGGCGAGTAGAAGTAAGTTACAAGTTCATTTATTTTGGATACGTGTTCATTTTGATCCGCATATGCATTTTTTTGTGTGCATGATTACAAAGTAGTATGAAATATCTATGAAATCTATCCTGAGACAGTTGGCACTTTAAGGCTGTGTTTTCCAGATTAATTCGTTCACCAGATTATATCTTGTGAACCGATTATATATTAAAGTCCGAAGATGAAGTTCATCTATTTTCGAAGTGGAAAAAATATTTAGTTATAGTTATCAAAATTTCTTCACCACTAGCAATATATTTCATGCAATTATTATAGTTTTGTCAAACTGAAATATGGACCTATGCCACTATGAAAGCGCTTCTTTTTAATTCTAATTGAAATCGAGCCATGATCATGACAGCATATGACATAAGTCGTTATTGATAAATACATAGATAACTACTAGATTCAAGTGCCATGCTTGCGGATCTCGCATCAGAACAGTGAATTTGGTTTAATGTCCTTTATAAAGGCTAACGGTTTATAAAATGATGACACCACCTTGGTAGTAACAATATAACACACTTTACACCTTGAAAAAGAGTAAATAATGGTAGGTTCTATAACTATAGTGGTAGAACAATAATCATACAATATCATTCAGGGTGTCTTCCGCACATCTCCTGTTAAAATTTTTTCACACTTCATTCACACACCCTTTAGTCACATATTTTTCCAGCTGTTCCATATGGTAACATGAACCCCCTGCTGTATTAATCAAAATTTTTAATTAATAACTTTCCTCTGAGAATTTATTTCGAATTTATCCTGGAAGTTGGAGAGAACGATGTTAAATAATTTTGATATTTCCAACCATTTAGCCCCCTCCTTTGTTACTGTTATTGAGTATTACCATTATTATACTTAGCAAATGGTGGACGCTCGTTCGCCAACGCCAAAATATAATTATGAACCTCCACCATTTTTAAGGCGAAGGACCTTCGCCATTTTTTCAAGTCTTTTATGAAAAGGTCCAAAGGCTTTCAATTTCCTGTCCCGAAAGGACCCCGCACAAAACCATAGGGAATTGGCCCACAGTGGGATTTGCCTGAAATTCACATTTGTTATTGGTATGGAGTTTCTGATCAAATGTTTTCATGTGACCAATCCTCTAAGACCAAAGATTAAGCTCTCAGGGTCGTATTTAGTATAGGTGCCAAATAAACAATTACACTTTTTTTTTCAAGCCCATGAATTTTGTATCTCCCATTATAATTTAATTGAATGAGAAATGTTGAGGAATCTTGGCATTTGTCTTTTAGCACAAGTCCTCTGTAAAACATGACTTGTCCTACAGGGCCGTATTTAGTAAAAAAGTGCCGAATCTAATTGATTTTGTTATGACTTTGTTATTTCTTGTCCTATATCAGTGGTCGTTTGATAGATGGATGTAGATTTCTTTGTGTAGATAACAAAAGTGGTCACCATCCTGATATTCAATATGGTCGGCCTAACATTCAATCTTTATAAAGGACATATCTCGTAGCTTTTTAGGAATGAGCATGTTCTTCGATTTCCACACCTATCTATGGATTACTTGGGAAACGTGACTTTTGGAACATCATATCAAATCAAATTATCAGCGTTCTATGTCCAAGACAGAATACTTCGAGATGATCATGAGTCGTTTGCAATTGATCTCAGAGTGAATGAACCTGGATTCATTAGACTTAGTGTGTATTCTCGATTCAGGAGGAGAAAAAAATATCAAGTATTTATTCAATACACTCCACATGAAAACCAGCCTGACGAGAATAATGAAGAAGATGTATTGATAATAGGATACTACTGCAGTTGCAAATCAAGGGCAAGGACACTAGGAACATGTGCTCTCATTTGTAGCATATTGTAGTATTTAGGATTTGCCCGCCATAATCAAAATCTGAATTACCCATCGACTTCTGTGATACAGCATATTAAAGATGCCGCAAATCGTCCAGTGCAAGATGCAATACTCCAGCAGCTGTAAGTGTTCGGGAATTATGTTGATAGTGAGTGCTTGACTTTTTTGTTCACCACCCTGCGAATATCGGTTTCAACTTTGTAAGTAATGAATTGGATGAAGTTTCAAATAGATAGTAGAGTTATATTTATATTATAAAGTTAGGTAATTGAAAAAGTAAATGACCGATTTCAACAATCGAAACGTGTTCTTATCTTTTCCTGTTACTATCATTCCTAAAAAGCTACGAGATATGTCCTTTATAAAAATTGAATGTTAGGCCGACCATCTTGAATATTAAGATGGTGACCACTCTTGTTATGTACACAAAGAAATCTACATTCATCTATCAAACGACCACTGAAATAGGACAAGAAATAACAAAGTAATAACGAAATCAATTCGATTCGGCACTTTGGCAAATACAGTTTTACTGAATACGGCCCTGCAGGACAAGGCACGTTTTACAGAGGACTTGTGCTAAAAGATAAATGCCAAGATTTCGCAACATTACTCATTCAATTAAATTATAATAGAAGATACAAAAATCGTGGGCTTGAAAAAAAAAGTTATTTGGCATCTATACTAAATACGACCCTGAGAGCTGAATCTTTGGTCTTAGAGGATTGGTCACATGAAAACATTTGATTAGAAACTCCATACCAATAACATATGTGAATTTTAGGCATATCCCACTGTGGGCCAATTCCCTATGGTTTTGTGCGGGGTCCTTTGATCTGTAACATTTTTATGGGACAACCTGGAAAAATCCTATCATAAAAAACAAGTAAGATATTGTCTTTTGATGTTTCCTAATTACTTATTCCATTAGCCGTACGAAATTGAAATAAAGCCTTCTATAAAATGTGAAATTATTTTTTTTTTCATATTAGGTATGAGTAAGTATAAGGACGCATTATCACCGTTTCTCAATTTATTAATGCCTCTTATATTCATCTCAGTCAGTATTTTCAGTAATGCGAATCCTTTTTCAATTGAACTTCTGCATTAACTGAATTCGAATTGGCAGAAGTTTATCGCTACTATCAATATAATAGTTTTGTGGTATGTTTCATTAGTCAGTGTTTCACTCTCATTAATTGAATTGATCAAAAAGATTTGGTCTTTCCGCTATGGAGCTTTTTTTAGAAAGAATGTGGTATAGCTACTATTACGTATAATATATATGTCGTTTCCGTTTGAAAATATTCAAAATTTTTCTCGATCAGTTTATTTTCTCGGATAAAGTGCGTTCGAATGAACCAGTGTAGGTGTACCTATCTCCTTTCAACTTATACAATTGATGAAAAGGAATATTCTCAGATAAATTATGAACATACAAAAATGGATATATATTTATACAAAGCAATACATTGAGAATTCGCATTCTCTATGTCATGAGAATATCAACTCTTTTTCAGTTTTTTCAATAGAAAACAACTACTTTCCTGGCAATATGCCACGACGAAAATTGAATTATATCTATTGAACACACACGATAAGAGTTTGAAAATAAAATATAAAATCTTCTGAAATTGAGAATTTCCATTCTACTCCAGACAAAAATAAGTATATGCACACATCATTTTGATTATTCAACAGAAAACAACTACTTTTCTGACTATTTGCCACGTCGAACATTGAATTATATCTGATGAACATCCAAAAAGAGAACATGAAAAATAAAAAATGAAATCCTCCGAAATTGACAACTGAAATTCTTTTTCGAATCGGATGAATAATATGATGTATAATGATATAGAAATATAACTTACCAATATATTCAGCATTGAAATGAAAATTGGAATGTATAGGAGAAGTATACTGGCATGAACTCTGGTCTTGATGAACTTGAAAACATCCAAAAATAATCATTCATATCAGTGATATGGGAAATATTATCTCTCACACACAGGTTATATGACTTTATTGCAATGAAACCATTTCGAATTTCTAAATCCTCATCAGTAACCATGATGTCCACTCATTCTTACAGCCATTCTTCATGATATACACAATTTTCATCTCTCTATTATATAACTAAAACCGAGTAAAACTATAACAAAATGACATCTGAGAAAATTTGTTGACATTCTATTCCTATCATCTGGACGTTTTTTCTTTTGGGTGTATGATAAATTGACATTCATCATACCGGGCGTGGAAAGAAATTCTGAATTGAGACTCTATCACGATTCTGCGATTAGAGGTCTATAAAAATCACAAGTTTCCATCGTTCAAGTTTGAACCCCCTGTTATAATTTTACTCGGTTTTAGTTGTATAATAGAGAGATGAAAATTGTGTATATCATGATGAATGGCTGTAAGAATAAATGGACATCATGGTTACTGATGAGGATTTAGAAATCCGAAATGGTTTCATTGCAATAAAGTCATATAACCTGTGTATTTTGGCCCACTCGTTTGTAGTGCTTTGAGAAATGTATTTTCCCATTGCTGTTTCAGCATCCATCATGTTCGCCTTTTCGGACCAAGCCACCGTGAAGAAGGTGATCAAGGCTCTGCCCAGGGTCGGCGTAGGGATCAAATACGGCATTCCGCAAACGAGACGGGCCAGCATGATGTCGCCCAGGCAGCTCATGAGGAATGCCAACATGACGCAGAAGTGGCAACGCAGGGAGATATCCAATTTCGAATATCTCATGTTCCTCAACACCATAGCCGGTAAGTTGAGGTATGCGTGTGTCGCTATGGAATCCGATTTGCCTCGCAAAAATGCATAAGTATCCCCTACTCGAATCTCTGCTTTATTGGATATCTTTATTTATCAATATTGATGAGAGTGAAGATGAGTGGTACCAATATGACACAGTAATGGTAGCGCAGGGAGATAAGCAATTCCAAATATATCTCAGGCTCCCCTTCATATCCCCTCGCTCATTGAGCGAGGCCCTGAATTTAGTCAAAAAAATGTTATATTGGCAACACTATACCTCTTCAAGTTCAAATTGAGACTTAAATAATTTCAAATTGGTAAACATATTCGAAAGGGGAATAAACACAATCAAATCAATAGAAGGTACCCAATTGGTTCAAAAACTACCTTAGTGCTCGTAAACAGTGCGTGAAAATTAATGATTCAATGTCATCTAGCTGTGAAGTGATACGTGGTGTACCGCATGGCAGTATCCTGGGCCCTATCCAGTTTGTGATTTTCACAGCAGATATTGTACATGATTTAGACAGTAGCTTCGATATTCCTTTATATGCTGATGACGTTCAAATCTATGGTTCCTGTGATCATAAGAATGTGAATGAACGCATAAGCAATTTGAACGCAGTACTTGAGTGAATTAGTAAATATTATGTTGATCATGGTCTCTTAATAAACCCAAATAAATCGCAAGCGATTTGTTTCGGTACTTTAAGTCACTTATAGCCAATTGTGAAATACTCAGTACCTATCAGTGTTGATAATTCAATAGTGAAGATGAAAAGTAATGTGAAGAACTTGGGAATAATTTTTGATGAAAATCTCACATTTGGTCCACATATTCTCAACAAAATTCGTACTTGCTACTTCAAATACAGATTTTTGTGGAAATTTAGGAACATTCTGTCACCTTCTACTGAATGGAATCCAACTAGCTCAAGCTCACTAGTACTTACACATATCGACTATTGTGCGCCTGTCTACTATCATTTTCTTAATGATAAGATGCGTAATAGACTGCAAGTAATGCAAAATAACTGTTTACGCTTTTCAAATAGACATATCAACATACGTGATCACATAACACCATTTTACAATGAAATGAAAATACTCAAAATTGAGAAACGGGTCACATGTTTATATGCATCAGTTGTTTATATGGTGTCCCAAGTACTTGCATGAAGTACTCATCAGAAGATCTACCATTCATACAGCAAATGTTAGAAATGCTTATTCATTTACTATACCCATCATCGTTCATCCAAATTCCAAGGTTGCTTCGAATATATTGCACCCACGATGATAAATATGTATGAAAATTTGTTCAGTTGGTACTCTAAATATGAAAATGTTCAAAAAATCATTCAAACTGCTTGTACTACCAATGAACCAATAATATGCACTGTATAATTTTGGTTTTATCTCCAACTTATTATTTTGATTGTTAATCTCATTATTCATTGTCATGTATTGTCATGTAATGCTCACCTCATGTAGGTGCAGTATTTGTATATTAATCCGTGTGATTTGAATCATCCAAAGCAAATATGAATATGAAAAGTGGCTTGCCTTTTGAAGTATATATTTAAACACATGTTTTTCTTATTTTGTACTCCAATATACATTTTCATTATTATTATTATAAATTGGGAATAATCATTTTCAAATACAGAATAAACAGTTTCATATTGGGACTTACCATATCCAAGTTGATTAACACAATCAAAATAAGAATAAAATCATTCAATTTGAAATCTAACAACATGTAAAAAACTTCAAATGAATTACTTGAGGCTTCGCACCCTTTCGTGGTCACTTTGGAGACCTGCAGAACATCTCTTTCCGAAGACTCGTTCATCCAACGTACACATTGCTAAGGGAGGTGTTCCCCGAGGCATATAACCTCCAGAAATTCAAGAAGAACACCAATTCCTACCTTATTTCCCTTGGTTCTCACGATGTTCTCTGAACATTGCACGATATCCCTTTTCGTGGAAACCAGAACATAAAAAAAATATCATAACAACTAGTTCTAGTTTTTCCACCAATAAATGAAGAGAGAATAATCTTTTATAAGCAAACCTCTGAGTTATTAGCGAATCAAGATGTTGAAAATCTTTGAATTACTCTACTGTAAAATTAAGAAAACTGAGATACGTCACTAGGTCACATAACCGTCTATATGTATAGGGTGTTATACGAGACCAATCAGAGCGATTTTGGCAATGTCGGTTAATTCAAATAACTGTTATTGAGGGTGAATTCGAATAACGAATGTTCTCACACCATAGTCAATAAAAGCCAATACCCTTAATTGGCGCAGAATCAAATCTACTGAATTGAAAGGCGTTTGCGAGGCGACCGCGAAGGCGAATGATCCGAATGAAACTTGCTATTTTTTCTGCAATCGAAATAAATGATATATAATTAATGAAATATAAGTGAAAATACCTCTATCACTTGAGCATGTCAGTGTCGAAGCAGCTATCATATCAGCTGTCATCCGACCCGTTTTTAGTTCCTAGGAATTGAACTTCAACTTAAGCTCCTAGACACTAAAAGTATTGCCAAACAACGTACATACTAATCATTTTCTGGTGTCGACAAGAGAAACGTCAACTTCAAGAGCTGATTTTGGAATAAAAATGGGCCACCTTTGTGCCGATTGCAGAAAAAGTATATTTTTCGGAAATGCACTTGAGAAATCAGAATTTAAAAAAGCCGACCGTCAAAGGAATCGCCGGCTTAGCTTTTCCAACGCACAACAACTGATCGACGGATGTACTTTAAAATAATAGTATGAAGAAAGAACTTATTGATAGTGTAATATGATGAATTCATCATCATCATACAGGTCGTAGAAAGAAATTCTGAATTGAGAAAACTCAATTGCCATTCTGAGAATATTCCTTTTCAAGAAAGAACCTTGCTTCATAAGTGTATATGGAAGATTATCTGACCATAACGAAACAGCATAAAAACTGATATCACCATTTATTCAACGTATCGCCAAATGGCGCCATGACGGTACCTTTGGAATGAGCTCTGAAACTCAAGGATTTCGAACATGCATAGACTCATTATCTGAAAGCGTGAGATGTGTTGCAAAAATTAATTTTTCTACTACTGCTATGAAAGGTAGCGCATTCCTCATAGCTTACTTTGTTTCAAAACCATGAATTTCCCATACTGGGAGAAATATTTTTTCTCACGGCACTTTGCCAACACCACATACATTTCCATGGAGCATCAACAAAAATTTACCTAAATTTGGCTGCTGTTCAGCTTTGAATAGTTGTCACAACTGTCAGAAGGAATTTTTCGAATTCTTTAGGGTAGTTCTCATTAGTGCTTTTGATGAAAATCGCATTTTCCATCAAATATTGTTCCAACAAATCAAGATAAATAATGTGATGTATATACCGAGATGTGACGATTTTGATAAATACGCAGCAGCGCCAGAGACAGAGATAATGGAAAAAGCTGCGAAAGTTGGATTTGTTTCCGGAAATTTCAAGAAAAAAGTATGAATTGGCATATTGGTACGAAAAATTTATTCACTCTAAAAAAATACAGAAATAAACTCTTTTTCGGAAAGTGTACTTTTTTTAAATACTTTGAGGAACTTGGAAAGGCGTCTACTCTTTGGTCACAATATTCAATGTGGCATAGTGCAGAATATACTATTAGGTCCCCAACGACACAGTGGAGTAACTGAATGCCAATAACTAATCATCAGTCCACTCGCCCATTGCATGACATTTATCGATAATAAAATTATAAGAATATTGCAGAATAATTCGACTATAACAAATGGCACAAAAACTCCTCATACAGGTTGAGAAAATTACCGGCATATAGATTTTTCAAGCTATTACACAGGTCAATTCTGATGGTGATCTACCCAGAAGAAGTTTAGATATTTAATGTCGGTGCAGTGACTCAAGAAATGTTAAGAAATGTATACGATTCATTGAACTGAATCAGTGAACCTTTCAATGATTTACTCCTTCTTTTCATTGAAACTTTCACAACAGTTTATCGATTCTCAAATGCATTAATTTTATTTCCTTCGAAGTGGTGTTACACAAAAAAGATGGTTGTCCCATGAAGATTCTGAAGTAAGCGGTTTTGGGGATGAAGAAGTTGACAGTATAATGATAACGTATTTGATGAAACAGTTCTCCCTCGAGCTGAATATCGAAGGGTTGAAATTATCATCAGTTTTTTTACTATTTTGAAGATATCCTGGTTGCTCTTCTATATTAATCTCAGAGTACCCATATGAGTATCACCTGGCATCTAAATAGTATTTTATATGTTCAGAACAATAAATCGACTCTCCACGAAGATATATAATAAGTGACTATTGGAGCTCTGCCATCTGTAAGACTATAAAACTCAGTCTACTTAAGCCTTAAGTCTGTTAATCTGTTCCCTCATAAAAGTGTATGCTCACTGATCCTATTCATTAGATACTATGTCGCGTGCCACTCTCTCCAGAACGCTGATGTTTTATTTTTACTCACAGAATATATGGCTGACAGCCATTTGATGCAATCTACAAATATACGTGTTTGTCGAGTACCTTAGATCATGCGAAATGAATGCATAAGTGCCAAGAAAAAATGTCAACCTTTCAATCTTGACTTAATTAAGTCCTTGGTCGATCAACATGTATATAAAATCAGTACTTCTCAGGTTTCAAATCATATATGGAAAAAAGAAATAAGCGCCGAGATAAACGCTTACGAAAACGGTATTCCATCTCTTTCTGTACGTTCTCTTCTAATAAATTGGATGCGAAATGACTATTTTTGTACGTCTTTCATGTACTCTTTGTATAGCAGCGTTCTTATGATTTATAGTTGGTTTTGTTTCGACTACTGCTTTTGATCTCGGGAATTATCGAAATTGAGATTTAATGAGCATTCACAGTTTCCTGACCATTTGATCTCCAAAATAGTAGTACAGGGTGTTCCACTGCATGACGAGAGGGACAAACTTTGTC